TGTCTCACAATGATAGTTTGAAGGTGATATTGCTATCCTCAATTTACAGATGGGCAATTCAGTTCCCTAACCTGTAAGGTTAAGTAGTTTGGTTAATGGTTTTACTAAGGTTTTACAACTAGTAATTGACCAGGTTGAAACTTAAACCAAGTCTCCTGGCAACCAAGAATTGCAGTTTTCTATACAACATTGAGAACTGAGAAGTTCATTCTTATTTCTGGAAACAATTCTGTCAATTGTTTGGGGACAAATCTATGTATGACATTTTAGATAGTTGTTATTAAAATGTGCTTAGGTCTACTAGTGAAAGATAAGTATTTGTTTTGAATGTTTTTCTGAGAAATAGCAAATGTATTCAATTCTGTAAAAGGAAAATAACACACTTAATATGTTATAGGAAGTAACTGTACTTTCAGTAAAAATAATACAATATTTTAGAAATGCTTTTTTAACTTTTAATTAGGGGGTTACTTTAGTTTTTTAAAAATAGGTTTCTGATAGAAGCAAATGCCATCAAAGCAGTTTCTCAAATACACATACCCAATAGTGAGACAGCATCTCATCTCTGAGTAGAAAGTTTTATTTTCAAACTATAATGTCAAGTTTTTTGGTTAAGGTAGCAAGTTCTTATGGCTTTACTGCTATAGGAATACATTTGTTTCAAAATTATTCACACTTATTTTAAAATTGTTCACATTTTTATCAATCTTGTACCTGAAAAAAGTAAAACTTTTTGTGATATGCTTAATCAATTTTGACCCTTAATCTGATTCATTATTTGTGTTTAGATTTAGACATTTGTTAGTGGTGATGAAATCACTTGCTGAAGAATCCTTTCATAAAGATAGTGATGAATTTAGTAAATCTTATAACAAAATGGACAGTTTCTCCCTCGGTTCTGTGAAGTGCAGTTAGTTTTCCATAAGTGTTTCTGAAATTAGAGTACCTTTTATGATTAACACGAATGACTGACATTGTGTTTTGCTCCTCCCAAAACCAATTATTTTTATAAAATACATAATGGTGTGTCTTATGATCAAGTGTACTTTAGAACTGAGAAAATGCTGAGGATTGTTCTGTGCACAGAACAAATGCACAGAGTTGATCTACTAGAAACACAGAAGACACTAGATTGTCATTCTTGTGGTGAGGTGTTCAACAAAGTTCATGGGAAACCACTGCAGTGGACTGGCCTCCTATGCTGGATCCCAGCAACCCTAACCAAACCAGAATGGAGTCACTTGCGTTAAGTGCCATATATTCAAGCTGAACTTTGAAATGGATCCGTTCAAATCAACAAGATAAAGAAGTTCCTTCTGTCTTAACTTTATAAGGAAAGTGGCTTTGAAAGGACCCATCTACCTTTTGTTTTTTGTTTCTGCTTCTTTCAGCCCTTTTCAGTGTAGAAAGCCAAGTTTCTCTGCTCAGCTTATTGGAACACTAAATTTTATAATATAAATGCTGCTCAATTCCAGAATCACAAATAGATTTTTAAACTAAACTTATAATTTTTGTCTTTTGATAGAGGTAATATCTTCGGCAACATTTTTTTAATTTTATTTTCAGTTGAGCCTAGCACCGGGCCTGAGAAGTAGAGCATTCTGTAAGTATATATTAATGATGACTCTACAAACACCAGAAATCAATATACCAGTTTGCATAGTTTTCTCAGTGGACTATAGATACATCTGACCTATTTGTCAGATAGGAAACTCTCTGTGGAATAAGCTAGATTCTTGGTGTAGAGAGTTGTCAATAAAAAATTAGAGGTATTAAGAGAAAACATTGCTAATTTTTCTATTTTGCTTCAGGCTGATTCCATGGGACTCTGTGAAGCAACCCTTGCCCATCCTGACAGGAAATCCAAGTAAATTATGAAGTGTAGGACATTCTTTAATTCTATAACTTTCAAAGCATAATTATTAAGTCTTGATTTACTCACTAAACTCAAGAATTTATTGTGGGCATTAATGTTAACTGTAATGTTTTCCTATTGTGTTTGTTTTCCAATATCCCACAAGGGAGGGACTATGGTTGAGTGGGAACAACTCAGGACCAGTCTCTCGCTGTTCATTTACAAAGGGTCTATGAACAAAAATAATCTCAGTGCCAGTGTGCAAAAATAATCTCATCTATCTGGGATTCATTTCTCCTGCCTGTAATATTGATAATCTCTAAAATATATTTCAGATCCAAGGTCCTGTGACCTTGTGACATTATTACCCATTAAAAGCAGTAACTCTTGGGCCTTCAAAAACAATACAAGGTTTATATTTCTAGGAATATGGTAGGATAATGAGTGCTTTCAAGCTTTTCTCCACATTTGGACACATTTTACTAATTCTGAAATCATTATATTTGTTCAGGAGAAACTTTATATTAAGAAAGTATGAAATCCTTTATATAAGAAAATCTTACAAGTAGAAATGTACAAGACAGAACTACATCAATATATAAGCAATTTTTACTCAATGATTTATATTAATTAATGAACAGTGTATAAATGAGGCACATAAAGTTGAATAAGCATAGATAATATAATTATTACTTTACATAATGACAAATACCCAAGTATTAACTGTGAATATGGAATTTATAATCACTAACTTTACTTGAAATTAAACAGGTATACCCATGATGCACAAAAAATATAAAACACATAGGGAACCTGCCAAACGTGCTCTATAAATCTGCATAGAAATGTCATTAGACATTTAGTCATTAGAGAAAAGGTTAGATCAAAAAAGAATTAACCTAGAAGGTAACACACACTCACAGGAAATCAATGTGAGTCAATGCCCTGTATAGCTATCCTTATCTCAACCAGCAAAAACCCTTGTTCCTTCCTATTATTGCTTATACTCTCTCTACAACAAAATTAGAAATAAGGGCAAAATAGTTTCTGTTGGGTATTGGGGGGGTGAGGGAGGGGGTGGAGTGGGTGGTAAGGGAGGGGGTGGGGGCAGGGGGGAGAAATGAACCAAGCCTTGTATGCACATATGAATAAAAGAAAAATGAAAAAAAAAAAAATAAACAGCAGAACTGCCAAAAAAAAAAAAAAGAAATGTCATTAGTCATAGAAAAGCTATATAAAACACAAAAATGAGTTTAATAGCCTCTCTTCTTATTTTCTACTTTGATTAAATGTTAAAATTCTTTACAGCTTTTAACAAATGTAAATTGAAATAAATCACTGACCAATTTATATACTGGATTTGTTTGAGGACTATTAGAAAATGCTATTACAAAAATGTCTGTTGGCTTTAAACCATTAAAATTTTTAAAGTCATCATATTTTCTATATTAAAAAAGACAATGGAATTAAACAACTACCAAATGATAACATCTGTTTCTGAACCACTTTGTTGGATTCTTGGATGTCAGGGTTATTCACTGAATCCATATTATTGCACCTTGGAAAAATGAGAATGAAGGTGCTTAAAATCAAAGTCATGACATAGCTTTTCATCAAAATTATAAAGGAACATCTTGCTTTTGTGTGCAGCTTTCCAGACCTCAGCTGTGGAACTCAAAAATCTCAGATGTGACCCATTTCAGTTTGTAGGTCACACATTTGCTTACATGAACATCTATGGAGATAAACAGTCAGCTAATGTTTATGCCAAAATGGTCATAAAACGCCTCCAGCCAAATACATTGGGTGAAAACGCTTATGTTTAGGTTGATTCAAATGCAACTGAGATAAAATGGAGATCAGATTATTTAAAAAACTGGTCTCTGTGACTCTTTTTCTAAAACTGTGTGATTAAAAATCAGTGTTGGATATCCATGGAGTGAGCAATTTATGTCTTCAGACAAGGGAGGTGAGTTTATAGACTTCATCCACAAACAATAATGTTTTCCTGTATTGAGAAGACAGACTTTAAAAACATTTTGTTTCTTTCCAAGTGATATCAAAGGGCATGTTTTATACAAGCCAAAAGGGGAAAAGACAGATATAATGATATCCATGAGTTGAAGGACTAATTACTTTTGTAGCCTCAAATAAACATATATTGCAATCTAAAGGGAATGTTTGTTAACGATGCTTACTGTCTTGAAGTGAATGAACCACTATTATTAAAATGCAGGCAATGGTTTCTACAATTAGTAGGCAAGAGAACAAAGCTCAATTCAAAATAATATGCTTAAACTATGAAGTCAGTTCTTCAGATGTTAGTTCTTTGGGTCTATAGGAGAAAACAAAAGAAACCTCAAGTTACTGGCTCTCTCCAGTATAGACTCAGTCTACCAAGGTGGTGCACCAGAAAAAACAAACAGGAAGAGCTGGATTTAGCCCAGCTCTTAGGTACTGGTGGAGCACTGGGGACAACACTTAATCTTTCTGACCCTTAGGAAACAGAGGAAATAATACTTACCTCACAAGCTTGTTACATGTAATCTTATGCATTGTGTGTGCACAATACATGATAACACTATTCTAAAAGGTAGAGACTGTTATTGAAGGGAATAGACTGGCCCATCTGAAATGTACATTTCTGTAGCTATAAACGTCCAGATTTCAGACCGTACTGAGGTGGCCTCCTCTCAGGAACTGTTAAAGTAGGTCTCAATGAGGATGGCAAGACCAGGTTCCTTGGTGAGTTTGTAGTTGATGGTCTTTTTTTGTGTGTGGTCCAGGGGTCTGGGCTCAGGGCCGTAGGAATGATGCAAGCACTCTACCTCTGATCCACACACCCAGCCCATGGATGGTCACTTTTATGCACGGCCACTTTACGACATGTGAAATAACACATACAACTACAGAGCTTAGGTGCTATCTTACTCCTTGATACAGGTAAACATTTATATCTCTCTAAATTTACCACAGTAATCTCATTGCATTTGACTGGTTACACTGCCTTTCCACGTGGCTAAGAATCACAAATACACAAGAAGAACGGGCACAAACACACAAGTGCAGAGTTTACCTGCCTTTTCTAATATATCACTGTCATAGACAAGCCTGTCAAAGCTCTAGGTGATCCATACACACTCTCCTAAAAGTTTGATTTTGGTGTTTTCCATATTGTCGATTTCCTCTCAGTCACTCTTTTCTGTACTTGAGGCAGACGTTTCCGGAAGTTTCCACTCAATAAGATGTAGAGAAAGGGTTAATGCTGCTGCTGGCATAGCTGAGACAGATGGAAAGGTAATAGCCCACATAGAAAGCCAGAGTGGGCTGCTCCATCTGCAAGTTTACCAGCTGTATCACATGATAGGGGCAGCACTTAGAACAAATACTGTCACCAGCACCAGCACCATCTTTGTCAACTTCATCACTCTCTGCTTTGGAACACTGGGATTGTAACTGCAAAGGACAGAAAATAAATAACCAAAAAAATTTTGGGGAATGATTTCCTAGCTATAGGCAGTTCACAATGGCTTTGCAGTGAAACATGAATCTCGTATTTATATACCTACTTAGAATACTATGAAAAGACTTTTTCTTTCCTGTTGAAAACTTCCCAAAACTCCCAAAGCTGGATCATTTGGAAGAACAAAATAAATAGTATTGAATCTTAACTTGGTGCTTGAAATAAGTATAGGTGAGTCCATAGTGGTGCAAATATTTCTTAAATAAAATAATATTGTTTATAGATACGTTGATATTCCCCTTTCCAGGAGACAGAGTTTAATTCCCTCATTGCCCCTTCTCCTTTGAGGTTAGGCTGTACTTAGTTTACTTCCTAGGAACACAGAAAGGGGTAAATACTAATTTCACAGTGAAGAAACCTGGCACACTATCTTAACCAAATGATCAAGACTAATGTCATGTAGCTATCATGTGGCACCTGATATATTTTGATGAGAAGAGCTGTTTACCCCTCAAACATGTAACTGCAGTGTAATCATGATAATAATATCAGAAAAACCCAGAATAAGGAAAATTCTACAGTATATCTGGCCAGTACTCCTTAAGATTATCAAGGTCATGAAAAACAAGGAAAGTGTGAGAAACCCAAATAGACCAGAGGAGACTGGAAGACATGACAACTAAGTGCAGTGTGTTACCCTGGATTAAATCTTGAAACAGATGGAGGAATGTAATGGAAAAACTGGTGAAGTTCAAAGATGGGTGGAGTTTAGATAACAGTAACACAGTATTGCAATTTCTTTGTTTTGACAAATGTATCATAGTAATGTAAAATTCAACAATGGAAAACTGGAAGCCTTCTCCTAGTTTCCAGGGGTAAATGGAAATTCTATAATATCTTTGCTACTTTTCTATAATTTAAAAATTATTTTACCATATAAAATATTTTAAAATTTCTAAGTTTTATCATATTCTGTCATTTTATAAAAATGCTCTGGAACATGATGGAATCAGATGAATAAGCCTTGGGAATAATAAAAAATAACAATAAATAATGAAAGAAAGAAGAAAGGAAGAAAGAAAGAAAGAGAGCCCAGGAGTTCAAGATTATTTTAAGGTAATAATTCTTCTACTTGATCAGAATAGGCACAAATATTCTTCTACCTTCTTACATTTTGAGGCCTAAATGGACAGTATGAGCCTTATTTCATAAGATGCTCTTAGAATTTCTGAGGGAAGTGTTAGGAACAAACTAACTTGATTTGGATAACTGTTTTAACTGGGGCATCCTCTTTAGTTATCCATGTCTTAATATTTCAATGATTCCATTTCAACATTCTCACCAACTCAGCTATTTTTCTTTTTTAATTTAACTTAATTTTTTATTATCATATAGTTGTTGTACTGAGGGTACATTGTGACATTTACAAAAGTCCTTACAATGTGTCTTAAGTTCACCCCCTGCACTGTTCTACTTTATCCTGCCTTCTTCCATTCTTACAATAGTTTCAATAGGTCTCAGTTTTACACTTTCATATATAAGTACATAGTATTTCTACCATATTTACCATCTTATACCCTTTTCTTTCTGTTATAACTTTGGCAGTTTTCTTCTTCCATTTAAAATAGACCACATTTTAATAATACAAAACTTCCAAAGAATTTAAAAAAGTAAAAAGAAGTGTTGTGAACCAATAGATTCTACCTGTGCTTCCATTAAAATTTTGATGAATGGAATAAATTGTTTACATATATTCAAAAAAATCCTCACAATATTACATTTGATATGCAGGAATTTTGCCTCTTTCTAAAAGAAATACAAAAATCTTCTCAAAGGAAAAAAACTTTAATAATAATTTTTACCCAACATGTTACATAATTACTGACTTACTCATTTGAACAACTTGGTACTCACAATTCCAAGTTGAATATAATTTAAAAAATTGAATATAATAAAAAATTGAATGTAATTTTAAAAAGTGGAGTATAATTTAAAAATTTTCAAGTTGAATATCATTTAAATGAAGTTTTAGAACCAAGTAAGTATAAAAGTCCTTCCCAAGTTTATTGCCACTAGGTAAGTTTTTGGATTAATTTACTTCTAATTAATCTCCCTCTAATACAAATAAGAGCCTTCTTCTCTAATTCAAGTATTAGTGAAATCCTTTTTCTCAAATAAAAAATTAAAACACAAAAATTAAAAGGCTGCAAATAATATCCCAGATTTTTATATATGTATACAGCTCTGCAAAATTTACAACTAAAACAGTTAAATAATGTCAGTGACAAATTTAAAATTATTCTTTATATGGAATCTTGAGTTTTGGTTACTTTTTATGAAACCATTACATCAGTGATTTCAACATTTATCACTGAGATATCCTCAAACAGCTGCTTTTGAACATCTGTTTTTCAGAACATGCCTTCTTTAGATATATATTTATACCCTTGTGTCTAAGTGTAGTATGTGTCAAGTGATTGTTGTTTAAGTTTCTGTTGTAGATGCCTTAGGATATCTGAATTGTCCTTTTAACAAATACATCAAAATAAGACAAACACTTACCATCTGGCATCCTTATTCTGTTGATACATCTCCCAAGTATAGCATAAAATTAAAATATAGCACACCAATATCAAGGGTAAAGGGAAAAAGAAAGTTGTTATTGTCAAATAAAGTGTATACCTGTGAAATGAGAGAGAGAGAGAGAGAGAGAGAGAGAGAGAGAGAGAGAGAAACATATCACTTTATATTCACTGTAATAGAACTAATGTTTACAGTTTATGATTTCTGGATTTTTCAGAGTCCTCTTTGTAGGCAAGTCCTGTTCTTCATTGTTCACTGACAACAGTACTTGTCTGTTTTCTAACTAAGCTCAAAAGTACTGAGTGCAAAACAAAAGCCACATATTATTATCATTTAGGGTTATTAACAAGAACAGGTAACACAAGTAGCACTTATTATATTGGTATAAGTTCTTTGAATGTTTTCTTTATTATTTATTTTTTCCTTTATTGTCATGCTGGGTGGGGGTACATTGTGGCATTTACACAGGTTCTTATAATATATCAAATATGTTATGCGTAACTCACCCTGTTCACTGCTCTCCTGTATTCCTCCTCCTCCAATTCCTGGAACAGCTTCAACAGGTATCATTTTTGCATTTACATGCATGTAAATTTGCACCATATTCACCCTCCTACCCACTTTTCCCACTACCTCCTCCCTCCCGTGGTGCCAACTATCCCTCTGGGCAGGACCTGAATGTTTTAATCCATTGAATCTGTGCAACCATTAGTACAATGACCTTAGCATCCTCACGTAACAGAAGAAAAAGTTGAGGCGTAGAGGGGTTTAGTGACTTGGCCAACAGCATCTGTGGCTTGTTAGTGACAGAGGTGGCATATGAACCTAGGTAATTGGATGCCAGAGTCTTTGCTTATAACCAACTCCAGATGACTACTTAATGGCCACATGGGAGAGTTCTCAGGTGTGCCACTCCATCGCTGCACAGATGCCAGGTGTTATCTTTTCTGGCAGAATCCTGGCATTGGTAAAAGGAGGAAGGCTTAAATTGGGTCAGTGGACAGGATGGCAGAGAGCACCTGGGGCCAGAGGGACCCTGATTGCAGTACAATCATTCAGTTTCAGTTCACCTTAACAACTTGACTCTAGGAGGAGTGACAGAGGATGCATCCTAAGAATGTCCTTTGATAGTGGCACTCTACAATAACTAATAAAAAACAGCAGAAACAGAGCAGATGTTGGTATAAGTAACTAATCATTTGTTTGTTTTTTCCTTTGACACAGGCCAAAGTCAAAGGAGAACACAGCCTGGGTCTCACTCTATGAATATGTTCACCTTTTCAGTAGGTTGGGACTCGTTAATCTCTCGGCCCTGTGATTATCACTTGGCCCATGGTTTCTGTCTGTGAGTATAGTCATCAGTATTGGCTGCACTCACATACAAATTAACAGTCCTATCTATGCTATATAATTATGGGCTAAGTTTTTGTATTCCTGTCAAATTATATATTAAGCCCCAGTGTGACAGTGTCAGAAGGTGGTGTCATTGGGATGTGATGAATGGAATTAGTGCCTTTGTAGGTAGAGACACTAGAGCTTGCTTCCTTTCTCCCTACCATATGAAGGTACAAGAAGAGGTTGGTGGTATGCAATCCACACGAGAGCCCTCTCCAGAAAGTGACCTTGCTAGCACCTTGATCTTGGGCTTCCAGCCTCCACAGCAGTGAGAAATGTATTTCTGTTGTTAAAGAACTCCCCAGCTCAGGTGCCTACAGCACTTTGTTACAGCAGCACAAAGTAGACATGCACTCGTGGAGCTTTCGTTTTAGGGTTGGGGTGTATTGGCTTCTACCGCTACCTCTTTTGGGTTGTGTCTACTTGATGCATAAATGATGAAGTAGGAAAAGAAATCACAGAACTGACTTGAATGACACATACAAAAAGCACCTATCATAGTACCTGGCCCTTAGGAAGTGCTCAAAAAATTTTTGTCATGGACTCAGATGAATATTTTTTACTTAATTTTTTTCTTTTCAAATTAAAATGTAAGAAATTGCTGTACTAGTTACTGTTTTAGTTTCCTAGGAATTCTGTAACGTATTACAAACTGGATGTCCTAAAACAACAGAAATTTATCCTTTCCCAATTTCAAAAGCTGCAAGTATGAAATGAAGTTGTTGGCAGGGTAGGCTCCTTTTGGAGAAGCTGAAAGAAAATCTATTCCATGCATTTTTTTTCTTGCTTCTGGTTATTCCTGTCAACTCTTGGTATTCCTTGGCTCATAAACACACCAATTTTTACCACTGTTATTGCACAGGCATTCTTCTTTGTGTATCTTTGTGTCTCTTCAAATCTCCCTCTCCTCATCAGAGCACCAGCCATTAGATTAGTGCTCACCCTAATCTAGTACATCTGTATCCTAACTTGATCACATTGCAAAAACCATATTTCCAAATAAGATAAGAAGTTAGGACTTATGTCTTTATGGAGGTCACAATTCAAATAAGCTACAATTACATATTGATAATGTTTAAATTTGGTTCTCTCAGACCCTTTTTGAAGTTATTCTCCTTTTTTGACTGCTGTGCTCCTGCCAGTCTGGAATTAAAGAATGATGGATTCACATCATCAATCAACTAGGGAATCTTTTCCAATCACATCCCTCCCTAGCTGAAAACCCTTCAGTGGATTTCCATGCCTTTTAGGATTCTTACATCCATATTTAAATGTACTTGTGCACACCAGATTTACATGATTAAATTCAATTTTTTTTCTAAAGGTTACCCTCTCCTTCAAATCAGAGTATCACCTGGACCGCGCAAAGGAGAAACCTAAGCAGGAAGAATGGTGAGAAGAGGATCCCCAAGGACACTCATCGAGGCTGCTTATGTGTTGACAAGAAGGATGAAGCACTTCACAACTTAATTCAACTCTATTTTTCTTAAGTTTTAACAACTTACCAGAGTACATCGTCAGGGGATGTTAAATCAAAAGCACAACTCTCGACACCGTCTTTAAATTTGATGACCTTTGAGTAGACCCAGACAGGCAACGCCAGAATAAAGGAAGCTGCCCAAAGGCCTAAATTGATGCGGATGGTCTTGTATCTCGTTCTCCAACTTGTCAGTCGAAATGGTTGGACGAGGGCCAAGTACCTGCAAAGCCAGTTAAGAAGGGTTTGGGAACAATCAATAAAAGCACTGAGCTCCAAGGATGAAAGGTTCATGACAAGAGTAAATTATTAGTATTATTATTCTCCCTGAAGCACACCTCTATCATGGCAAAAGAAAGTTATATTTTGTAAGAGCTTGCTGATACCTGTAGAGAAAACAACTCTTGACCTTGCAAGACTGAATAAACCACTCACTGAAATAGCTGTCATTTCTACGAACAACACTGATAATGATAAAATTCCGCAGTGCAAACTTTTTTTACAAAGATGCTTTCTCATAGAGGAGGCTTTGGGAAACTTGGTCTCTGAAGAAGGACTTTTCTCTAGGAGGAAACAATCCTTTTTCCAATAGGATTTAGTGACATAGCAGCAGGAAGGAGGAAGGTGTAGGGGCTGAAAGAAGAATCTCCCAGCAGGAGGAAGCTCAGGCACACCTAACCATTTTGCTTAGGTGCTTTTACACTATGGACCCCAGGCTCTTGGATTTGGTTCACAGAACTCACAGTGAGGACGAATGAGTGTGACTAGTATTGATAATGCAGATTCCTGAGGGAATTTGGGCTGGAGGCTAGATGGAGGGAATGGACTAATCTTAAGGGAAAGAGTTTTTCTTTTTCTTTTATTCCATTTTTGGTTCAGGAAAGAAAATAATCAAAAATCAAACTCGAAATTCTGACATAGCAAATATATTTGATCCTCTAGCAAATTCAAGAAGAATTTTCAGAGATAGTTGAAAGCTAAAGGATAAAAAAAGAAAGCCATGATCCAGGCACAGTCTGTGTGAGAGAAAGCAGTTTTGCTGGAGGTCGGGAATGGTTGGAGGCACCCAACATAAAAATATTTAAAAAAAATGGTTTTGTTGGTCACAGTGTTTTCCGAGGTTTTGTAGAGCTACTAATGAAGATTCATAAAAATGAAAAATTCCCTGTCCTTGTGCTTTTGCAATTTTTCAAGGAGGCAGGATGTTTTGTATCCAGTTAAGGGATTCCTTGGCACGCAGGCCAAGTGCACTGCACTTGAACTCCCTGTAGCTAAGACTGCTCTTCCTCCTTGCCGGAGAAGTAAGACAGGCATGATTTCACTGCAGCCCAGCCACCATTCTGACCAGAATTACAGAATTATGGACTCACCTCATCAATCAACTAGAGGATCTTCTGTGATGGCATCCCTCCCCAACTGAGAACCCTTTAATGGCTTTACATGCCTTTCAGGGAGAATTCAGAATCCTTACCACGACCCATGAAGTCTTTCTTCACCTGCCTACCACTCTTTGTGCCAGACTCTTTTCACTTCTGTGCTAGTCAGTTTTCCATTAGTATAGCAAATACCTGAGATAATCAACTTATAAGGAGAAAGGGTTTATTTTGACTTACAGTTTCAGGGTCTGGTCCATGATTAGTTGGTCTTATTTATTGGGGTCTGTTACAAGGTGGCACATTATGATGGGGAGCGCATAGCAGACCAAATGGCTTACCTCATAGATTGGAAATAAAAAAGAGAAAGTCCTACAACCCCATTTCAAGTGCATGTCTTTAAATGACCAAAAACCTCCCATTAGGCTTCACCTATTATGGGCTTCATCACCTCCCAACAGCACCAAACTGGGGACCATGGCTTTAATACAAAGGCCTTTGGGGACACTCCAGAACCAAACTATAGCATTGTTCTAAACATTACTCCCTCCTTTCAGGGCCAGGAAATTCTGCCTGTCTGGCAGGATCTGCCTTTACTTCTCTTGCTCTTCCTTTGAGTGTGCATTGAATATCTCCCTCCCAAAGAAACTTTTCTGATCATACACTTTATATGAGAGAGCCCATGACTGTCAGTGCAGATCATAGGAGAACACTACTATTCCTTCCTAGAATGTTTTACTATGTGGAAGAAAACATTGACTCACGTAACTTCACTTAATGCCTGTCTGTACTGCTGTGGAAGGGAGGGACGGGAGCCTGGACTACAGTATTCCCCTGAACCTGGAAGTACCTAGCATGCAGTCCATGCTCAAATTTTTTTTTCCTGGATGAATGAATGAATAAGGAATTGTAGCTTCTGCTTTTGACTTTTGATATTTTAAAGGATTTATTTACAAAAGCAACCCTTAATTACATTCTAGGTAGCTTTTATCTTGGGTAAATGTTTTTAATACTTTGTATGCTGATAACTTTTTGTATTTCTATAGAGGTAGGGACCTACTATTAAATACTCTACACATTTGTAGTTATTATTAATCAGAGATAGAAAAATGATATAGTGATCAGAAATACTTGAAATGTATGATCCATTAAATTGGCAATTAAAGTGACTGAAATATATAACAATATGACATAATGTCAGCACTGACATTTGGTTATCGTCCTCTAAAGAAAATTTCATTTGTCTTACAAAATTGTGATTTAATTAAACCTTTATAAATTTGGTAGAATTAGAATTATAAGAAATACCAGAGAACATTGTCTCTTGCCAGATCACCCTCTAGAGTGAGGTCCAGGAGAAGAAAAGGTCCTGAAAGTCTCAACTGTGAAGTTTTAGCATCCCGTGTTTATCCAGATTAAAACAATAGAAAATATGCTATTCAGTTGTATAAGACACATACGTGCATGTACATACACACACACACACCTGTCTGCATTAGGAACTATATGCAGGTGGTGGGTTCTAAGGTAGAAAATGTCAATTCACTTTATTTGTAGTGAAAGGTTTACAGAAAGACAAATAAAGTCAATGTTCTCCTGCCTCCATGGCACAGGATATTAAGAGGTTTTACCATCTTCAAGAACGGGATTACTATTGATAAGGCCTGTGTTACTTCAGGCTGCTTTTCTAAAGTGGACTTAGCCTGTGCAGGTCCTTCTTCCTCATGTTAACACACTAGAAAGCTAAGGGTTTTCTCTTGGCAGAATCAGCACTGGCTAGCATTCACTGAGCTAACCAGACCTACACAGAACATTGGTTTAAAAATGCACCATTAATCAGAAATGGAGAAACACACTCTATATTTTGAGAATTCTTTTATAGAAGAATAGCAGGATATAAAAATGTGTAAAAGGTTATCATCATTACTCGTTTTGTCAGAGTGAATGATGATTTATATGGACCTTGCCAGTTCTTTGTTTAATCCATCCAAAGAAATTTGTATCACTTCCTTACCCCAAAAGGCCCACTTGGAGGGGTGAAAGAGGTAGAGGTCAGGATGAAGTCCTCAATGGGTCCAGAGAAATTTAACACACACTTCAAGACTGACAGTCATTCATTAGTTCACCATTCATCAACCGTTTTTGAGCATCCATGTGCCAGGCACTGTGACAGACATTTGGGATGCATTAGTGGACAAAGACTCTGCCTCTGTGGAATCTGCTGTTGAAGGGCAGGAGAAGCTGGACAATACCATATGCACAAACTCACACAGTAAATGAAGGAAATTGCCTGAGATGTTTGAAGCAAGGGAAAAAGAAAAATTAGGTCAGATCAGTGTGCTGGGTTGGGACGAGGAAAAAAAGTGCTGGGGATTTTAAGTGGGCTGTTATTGGAGATAGCATATCACTGTTATATGCAATTGCACTATCGTTGTGTTTCCATTCTGGGAGAGCTTCTTGGAAATGGCAGGGTCATGGCATCTGGATGATTCTGGGGAATCCTAGCTTGCTGGCATGCTTTCTAGGCAAGTCAGGTAGTGGAGTTGTTACAAACTACCTGCCATCTCTAAAGTCTAATGCCTAGGTCTGTACCAGGTTCCACCACTCATTGGCTCCTTACTCACTATCCCTCAAATGACATCAGCCTACATGGTGTATGTTCCAGGACACAAGGGAATACATTTTCAATGGAATAGCAGCATTTGTATCAATCAAACATAACCGTGTGTAATAAGATTGTTCCTGGTACTAGGAAATTGCTTCACAGGTGCATAGTAGACTGTATTTGCTCCCCTGAATTTTTTTTTTTTGGTGGTACTGGGTTGAACTCAGGGACTTGCATTGGCTAGGCAGTGCTCTACCACTTACCAATTGAGCCATGCCCCATCCCTTTTTTGCTTTTGTTACTTTATTTTTATTTTTTTTGAGGCACTGGGTTTTGAACTCAGGGCCTCCACCTTGAGCAACTCCACCAGCCCTTTTTTATGATGGGTTTTTTCAAGATAAGGTCTCACAAACTATTTGCCTGGGCTGGCTTCGAACCTCAATCCTCCTGATTTCTGCCTCCTGAGTAGCGAGGATTACAGGTGTGAGCCACAATGCCTGGCTTGTTACTTTATTTTGGGGGGATAGGGTCTTCCTTTTTATTTTGGCCTTGGCAGGACTGGCCCACAATCCTCCTATTAATCCACATAGCTGGGATTACAGAGATGAGCCACTATGCCTGGGTATTGGTTTAAATAGGGTCTCACTAACTTTTTACTTGCGTGGCCTTAAACCTTGATCCTCTTGATCTCCACCTTCCAAATAGCTAGGATTATAGGTATAAGTCACCTTGCTCAGCATCTACTGATTAATTTTTATTGATGTGCTGAGTGGGGGTACATTGTGTCATCCACAAAAGTTCTTAGAATATAACACATCTAACATACTTGAATTCATCCCCTCCACCATTCTCCTTTATCCCCCTCTTTTCCCATTCAAGGAATAGTTTCAACAGGTATTGTTCTCCCATTTTCAGTGTGTACACAGTATCTTCACTATATTCACCCTCCCATGCTGTTTCCTCACTTCATCCCCACTCCCATTGGTATCAACCTCCTGAACAGGACCTGTTCTCCGATTTTGTAAAAAAAAAAAAAAAGCATTAAAAAATCATTTAAAAACATCTGCATTTGTTTAAGATAGCTACACAGAGTTTTCTTGTGACACTTCCATGAATATGTGTGTTATACCCCTAATTGGTTCATCACCTCCATTTTTCTATTTTCTACCTTAGTCTCCCTTTCTATGGTGATTTCAACAGGTTTAAAAATTCTGTATTCATTTTTGTATGGAGTACATCAACCAT